GGGAGAGAGAGAGAGAAACATCAATGATGAGAGAGTCATTGATCGGCTGCAGCCCGCAACCCGGGCATGTGCCCTGACTGGGAATTGAACCCCGATTGCCTGGATCCCAGGTCGACGCTCAACCACTGAGCCACGCCTGGTCGGGCGATAATAATAATAATAATAATAATAATAATAATAATAATAAAAACAAATTTTAACAGCAATAAGAGGTGTTGGGGCACCGTTCTAAGCGCTTTCCCTACATTAATTCATTTAACTCCAACAACTACCCTAGGAAGCAGGTAGCAGAACTCTCTTTTATAAATGGGGACACTAAGACACTAACTTGCAAGAGGCCACACAGCATGAAAGCTGGGATTTCAACCTCTGTGGTCTACACTCTTAACCTCCATGTTCTGCTGCCTCTGATGAAGGGAATGGCACGTCCCTACCTTCCTGGGACTGAGACCGAGCACCACGGCCAGGCACGATGTGAAGCAACTTGCTCATCAAAAGAATCAACTTTCCCACCACTTCCATCATTTTAAAAATGTTGCAAAGACCCGTGGCAGTTAGCTTAGAAATTAGGAGAAAATGGGAAGTTCACTTTCTGCCTTTGCCAATGTACCCCAGACCACGTGGCACTCTCTGCTGTAACATGACACACACCTGTTCTCAGATCACAAAGGAAGACAGTGGCACCCCCCCGCCCCCCGGTGGCCAGAGCTCCCCCAGCTCTCTTCTGCATCCCCTCCACACCTTCTCCTGAGAGAAGTTACAGTGAGTATGTCCAGCCAAAACAATGCCCAATTCTGAAATACCTTCCGACATTACAAAATAAATTCCATTATTGCCCATATAGTTTTGATATTATGTGGACTGTATTTTTTGCATTCTAACTCCTCTAATGTGTATGGACTTATACCTAACAGGGCAGGTCATGCCTGTGGTGGGAGAGGCTGACTGTATGAAGACTCTGCATCTGCGGACTGAGCAACAGTGGCTTCAACTGGGCAAGGCTCTCACATGTCAGGATGTGTCATTTTGTAGAGGTACAAACATGAACTGCATCCATCTGCCGTGTGTAAGGGTGTTGGGGTGAGCAGCCACTGAGCATTTCTGAAGACACTGTTAGAACACCCAGCATATGCATATCCATGGGGCTCTGTGGCTCCCCCATTTTGCTGTGAATTTGGCCATTCTTGCAACATGAGAAAAACAGAACGCAGACCAACCAACTCTGTGAAAAATGGCCCTGGAAATAATACCACACATTAGTGTTGGGATGGAAATGGAAACTAGGTAAGGGGTCTAAGAGAGTGGTGGTTCCCGGGCGAAAGCAGAAGTCACGGCTAGATAACGACTGTTACGTACAGTGGGCTGGTAACTTGGATGTACGCTGTGAATGAATCCACCCTTTGCTTTTTATGGAAACAA